CTAATCGAAGAGTTCTAGATACTTGACTTTAAACTCATCTTCCTTCTCACAGATTGAGTAATCAAGTCCATAATTTTGCCATTTTACCTTGACCAGGGGAAAGTCTCTATTTCTAAGTTGCTGCACTTTTTGTCCGAATTCATCATTAGGGTTTCTTCATATGACAGCTCCTTTTGTACAAGACACATTACCAATCCTTTCAAAAATTTCAAAAGGCCCAATGAATTGTAGTCTCAACTTTCATTTCTTTCCAAACCTCAGCACACTTTTTATTGGTGCTATTTTTAGAAAAAAATTATCATCCACTTGAAATTCTAAATCTTTTCTTCTACTGTCAGCATAACTTTTCTATTGGTCTTGCGTTGCCTTTATTTTTGCTCTAATCTTATCAACCGCCTCAACTGTTTGTTCAATAATTTCAGGACCCAAAATTCTATTTTTCCCAACCTCATCCCAATGGATAAGGGATCTGCACTTTATGCCATAAAGAACTTCATATGGGGCCATACCTATAGTGGCTTTAAAACTATTATTGTAACAAACTTTACTAATGGCAGGTGTGTCTCCCAACTATCGTCAAGATCCAAAACACATGCCTTCAACATATCTTGAAGAGTTTGAATGGTTTTTTCTAATTGTCCATCCGTCTGTAGATGATAAGCAGTACTAAACTTTAATTTTATCCCCATGGCTGCCTGCAAACTTTTTCAAAATTTTGATGTGAATCTTGATCTCCATCTGAAACAACGGTGACATTAATTCCATGTAGCCCGACTATCTCTCTGATATATAACTATGCGACCTGTTCCATACTAAAATTTACTTTGATTTGCAAAAAATGGGTTAGCTTCGTCAAACAATCAACTACTACCAAATAGCATTGTGACCTTTTGCTGACATCGAAAAGCCTACCACAAAATCCATCGCTATATGTTCCAATTTCCATTCTCGAATATCCAACAAGTTCAGTAATCCTGATGGCCTTTGATGTTCTACCTTGATTTGTTGATAGATGATACATTTCTCCATGAACAACCCAATTTCTCTCTTCACATTTCTCCACCAAAATGTTTCTCGAAGATCTTGATACATTTTTATACTGCTTGGATGTATAGCATACGGGGTACAATGAGTCTTTTCCAATATCTCGTTTCTTATACTTTCATCTTTAGGTATACACAACCTTCCTTTAAAATTTGACGCGTTATCTGCAGATACTTCAAATCCTATGCGTTTGTTTGTACCAACATCATCTTTTATCTTCTGTAGAAATTGATCCTTATCCTGTGCTTCCTTGATTCGATCCCTAAGAGTGGTTGAAACATAAACACTCTTATTTTCGATGTAGTCTGACTCGACGGCGTGATGACTTCTAATCTCAGTTTCTCAAAGTCCTTTATCAAGTGGTCCTGCAACATAAGTAAAACTGCTAAATGTGATCTTGTTTTCTTGCTTAGGGCATCGGCGACTACGTTAGCCTTACCTGAATGGTAATGGATTGTACAGTTATAATCTTTTACTAATTCCAACCATCTCCTCTGTCTCATATTCAGTTCCTTCTATGTGAAGAAGTATTTAAAACTCTTGTAGTCTGTATAGATTTCACATTTTTCACAATAGAGATAATGACGTTATATCTTTAAAGTATGAACCACCGCTGCTAGTTCCAAGTCATGCGTCAGATAGTTCTACTCATACTGTTTCCATTGTCTCGAGGTATAAGCTTCACCTTTCCATATTGCATCAAAACATAATCTAAGCCCTGCTTGGAGGCATCGCTATAAATTACAAACCATTCGAACCTTCAGGTATAGTCAAAACAAGGTGAAACTAATTTCTGTTTAAGTTCATGAAAAGACTTCTCATATTTTTCCGTCCACTGAAACTTCACACCCTTTCGAGTCAATTGAGCCGTTGGACTTGCTATTTTTGAGAAACCCTCAATAAATCTCCTATAATAGTCGGCCAATCCTAAGAATGTGCGAACTTCACTTGCACTGGACATGCTAGGCCAATTAGTTACTATTTTCACTTTAATTGGGTCAACTTTAATTCCCTGGACGGTAACCTGATAAGTGTGTTTTTGCACACTTATTTAGATCACAAACATGACTTAATTACGAGTAAAATGATTGAATTGTGACTTAATTTCGTTACATTTGTGAATTGTAGGGAGCACCAATGAACATGGTGAAATTCATGAGAAAAGATGCGAAAAAGGACTAAAATGACACAAAGTGAAAGTTCAAGGACCAAGGTGCAATTACCCAAAAGTTGACCCGATGAACAAATCAAGGAATTGATTGAATCAAATGCCAATTGATGATGTCTTGGGATGATGGAATGGAAAGAATGAAGAAAAGAGGCCTAGAAGTGAAAGATTCAAGTAAAGGGACTAGATTGAAGAGAATAAAAGTTGGAGTCTACCACGCGGCCGCATGGTAGAACTCTCGTACGGCTGCACGACTGAATGCAGGGAATTTTTGATGAAACATGGAATAACCATGCGGCCGTACGGATTAAAACCATGCAGTCGCATGGTAGTCTTTCCGATGCGAAATTTTCTTTCCTTATACGATTAAAACTCCTTTGATAACCTAATATTCACATGATATATATATATCAAAAAAGGTCCAGAAACGAGGGGAACACATTGGGAGGCAGAAAAACACTTTTTGAAGAGGATTTGGAGCGCAAGAACGAAGATTGATTATTAGAATCTCAAGAAATCTTCAAGCTTTTATAATCCGGTGATGCTTATTACTCAAAACCTGATGTATTTTGTTATTTTAACGATGCTAGGCTAAATTTTCATGTGCTAGGAGATTGATAAACCATGTAATTTGAATTTTAATATCCTAGTTTTACAATTTGACATTAAGACACATTTTTATTGTTTTGAATGATTTATATGCAATTAATATTTTCGCAATTAAGGGCTCATAATTGTGTGAATTTGGGTGATTTATTTTTGTATTCGAGAGAATTGGAATCGATTTGACATAATATAAATCATCATAGGGTCCGATAGGGGATACAAATATACCGCTATACCCTACGTGAATCTTTAAGTGTTTATAAAACCGCATGCATTTTTACATATGCACTTGTCACAGAAATATAGGCCGGTGGTATATAGAAATAGGTTTAATACATCTCAAGAGAGAGTATTGGATAGATTTAGGAACATTGATTTGTCACAATTGAAGTGTGTTGTCATATTGTGAAACTAAGATTTAAAGCGATAATTGCATGGGAAATCGTGATCCTAGTGTGTTTAATTTCTACTGATTATAACGTGCGTTCTCAACATTTAGTTTTATTTTAGAGTGTTAAAATATTGTTTTGAGTCTTAATTTCAATTCACTCATTAAATTTGCGCAATTAGGGTTTTACTTAGGTTCACATCCACTTTGGCAATCCAGTTTCGATTAAGGCTACGTTAGATAAAATTTGAACTAATCAATCTTTGTGGGACGATATTCGGACTCATTGAATCCATTTTATTACTTGTTAACGAACCGTACACTTGCGGTAGTTTAAAATTGAAAGAAATAATTTCGTGAACACGTTTTTGGAGCCGTTGCTGGGGATTGAGTTTAGTCTGATTTTATTTCTCGAGGCACTAATTCAAACTTCAAATTTTGTTTTGCTAGTATAGTTTTGTTTTTATTTTTACTTTAGCTTATTACCCTTCATTTGTGTTTTAGTCATTTAAATTGTTTGAATCTCAGTGCTCTTACTGGTTTTAATTCTCAGATTTGCATGTCACGATTGCCTGGAGGAGAATTGATTCCAGCTGATCCTAAAATCGAACGCACCTTTCATTGACGACAAAGAGATCACTGCGAAGTACAAGTACAAATGACCAATGAATTAAACAATCCTATTATTCAAGCTAATGAAGGAGAGGCAATGGACAAAGGAAATGAGATTCTGGGGGATTTCTTGACTCCTCAAGTTATTCAAAGTCAATCCAGCATTGTGTATCCACCGTTTGGGCAGCCCACTTTTCAATTGAAGACCTATGTGATACAACTATTTCAAAATGGACACCAATTTTATGGCAAAGCCGAGTAGAATCCACACACATACATATCTCGATTTTTGGATATGTGTCAACATTTCAGATACTAAGGGATTTCAGATGATGCTATTAGGTTAAGGCTTTTTCCACATACGTTACGAGACAGAGCACTTGAATGGTTGGATTCACTCCCGGTTGTAAGTACCACTACATGGAACGAGCTGGCACACAAATTCTGCACAAAATTTTTCTCCCCAGCCAAGATAGTGAAGCTGAGACATGACATATCAGTATTCAGTTAAGGAGAAATTGAATCATTTAACGAAACCTAGAACAGATTCAAAAACATGCTCCAGAGTGCCCTCAGCATGGGTTTGATAAAAAGACCCAAATCCGATTCTTCTACACAGGATTACTTCAATACCACAAGAGCATGTTGGATTCAGCATTAGATGGCTCAATATCCACACGAATAGTTGATGGGGCATTGGAATTATTTGACAGAATGGCTACCACATCAGCCATGTGGTCTTCTGAGAGGGCGATTCCAAGGAAAACTCCAGGTGTCTACGAGGTGGACACTTATTCAGCAATATCTGCAAAAATCGACTCTCTGTATCACAAGGTGGAAAGCATATCACAAGCAGCTCAAGCTAAGAAGAGCAATTGTGAGGAATGTGGAGCCGAACATAAAACATCAGAATGTCCAATACTCATGCAAAGAATTGAGCAAGCGGACTATGCACAGTGGGGACAACGCCAGCAACACAATCAATATGGGGAGACTTTCAATCCCAGTTGGAAGAAGCATCCCAACTTCTCTTGGAGCAACCAGAACCAGAATAAGCCACAGGGGCAATTTCAACAATAAGAGAAGATACTTCAATTGGAGGATATGATAGGAAAATTCATGGAGAAAGCTGAAGCTACACTTCAAAATCAAAATGCAGCCATAAAAAATTTGGAAACTCAGATGGGGCAGCTAGCCATCGCATTGACTGGTAGAACGCCAGGTAACTTGCCAAGTAATACAGAAATCAATCCCAAAGAGCAAGCTAAAGCTATTACAACTCGAAGTGTAGTGCAATTACCGAAAATCCACGTTAAGAGACCAGGTGTGACTGTAGAGACATCCTTCCCTGCTGAAAATGAGACTGATGTGAAGGAATCAACTCCAAAGGAAAATTTAGAAAAATCACAGGATAAGGCCAAGGTCACAGTCAACCCATACGAGCCTCCGATTCCCTTTCCACAGCGCTTGAAAAAGCAAAAAGTGGAGCAACAATACAAAAAATTCCTAAAAGTCTTCAAAAATTTCCATATTAACATCCTACTAGCTGATGCACTGTTTCAGATGCCTAGCTACGCGAAGTTTCTCAAAGATATTATATCAAATAAAGGCAAGTTGGAGGACCATGAGACAGTTATGCTTACGGAGGAATGTAGTACCAGAATCCAGAATAAGTTCCCACCAAAACTGAAAGATCCATGAAGTTTTACTGTTCCTTGCACGATCGGTGAAGTATATTTCGATAAAGCATTATGTGACCTCGGTGCAAGTATTAATTTAATGCCTCTGTCTATTTTTAGGAAACTCGGCTTGGGAGAAGCTAAAGTAACTACTGTGACACTTCAGCTGAGAGACAGGTCACTGACACACCCTAGAGGGATAATTGAAGCCGTGCTCATCAAGGTCGAAAAGTTCATATTCCCAGCAGATTTTCTTATCTTGGACATGGAAGAAGACAATGATGTCCCATTGATACTTGGCAGACCATTCCTGGCCTTAGGAAGAGCGTTAATTGACGTTCAAAGGGGGCAGTTGATCTTAAGATTGTGAGAGGAGCAGATACCATTCAATGTATTCAAGGCCATGAAACTGCCAGCAGAACTAGACAGTTGTTACCAAGTTAACATTATTGGCAAGGCAGTACAGGAAACATTCCTACTTCACAGCCCATCTGATGCATATGAGGCATGCATTGCACAATCCCAATCAGTTCAGTCAAGTTTTCTTGAAGTTGAAACATGTGCACAATTTTTGGAGACCAACCCGCCATACACCCGAAAACGGCACTTCAAGGAACTGGGGACAGGAAATACGAAGCTACTGCCTTCCATCCAGTAGCCGCTAGTTTTAGAACTCAAGCAACTACCGCCACATCTCAGATATGCATATTTGGGGGAGTCAGATACACTTCCAGTAATTATTTCAAACACAGTCAGTGAGGTGGAGGAAGAAAAACTGCTCAGGGTACTTAGAGAGAACAAGACGGTGATTGGGTGGACAATAGCTGACATTAAAGGAATTAGCCCTTCTCTGTGTATGCATAAAATTCTAATGGAAGAAAACTGCAAGCCAAGTATAGAGGGCCAGAGAAGATTAAATCCGAACATGAAAGAAGTGGTCAGGACAGAGATACTAAAATTACTGGATGCAGTAATTATCTACCCAATTTCAGATAGTGCATGGATCAGTCTAGTTCAAGTGGTACCGAAAAAAGGGGGAATCATAGTGGTGAAAAATGAGAAGAATGAATTAATTCTCACCAGAACAGTTACGGGTTGGAGAGTTTGCATCGACTATCGCAAACTCAATGCAGCTACACGAAAGGATAGTTTCTCCCTCCCATTCATTGATCAGATGTTAGAGAAATTGGCTGGACATTCACACTACTGCTTCCTTGATGGATACTCGGGCTATAATCAGATACCTGTCGCACTAGAAGATCAGAAAAAGACTACTTTCACTTGCCCCTATGGTACTTTTACCTATCGTAGGATGCCTTTTGGTCTTTGCAATGCTCCAGCCACATTTCAAAGATGTATGATGGCAATATTCTCCGATATGATTGAAAGGTTTATTGAAGTTTTCATGGACGACTTCTCAGTGTTTGGATCTTCATTCGATGAATGTCTAGAGCACCTGAATTTGGTCTTATAGAGATGCAAGGAGACTAAACTGGTTTTAAATTGGGAGAAATGCCACTTTATGGTGTAGGAAGGCATTGTACTTGGGCATCAAATCTCAGCAAAAGTAATTGAGGTGGACAAGGCAAAAATTCAAGTTATTGAGAAGTTACCACCGCCGATATCAGTTAAAGGAGTTCGTAGTTTCTTAGGGCATGCAGGGTTCTACAGGAGATTTATAAAAGATTTCTCGAAGGTCACTAAACCGTTGTACAATCTGCTAATGAAAGACGTAACCTTTGAGTTTAATGAGGAATGCCTCACAGCATTCAAAACTTTAAAAGAGAAGCTTACGACAGCGCCAGTAATTGTGGCACCACACTGGGAACTGCCTTTTGAATTGATGTGTTATGCAAGTGATCACGCCGTAGGTGCAGTATTAGGATAGCGGAGGAACAAGATTTTTCATGTGATCTACTATGCAAGTAGGACTCTAAATGATGCGCAAATCAATTATGCCATCATTGTGAAGGAGCTATTGACTGTGGTATATGCATTCGACAAATTCAGGTCATACCTTGTCGGGTCTAAAGTCATCGTCTACACTGATCATGCTGCATTGAAGTATCTGCTCACAAAGAAAGATGCAAAGCCGAGATTAATTCATTGGTTGCTATTGCTGCAAGAATTTGATATCGAGATACGTGACAAGAGGGGCAGTGAGAATGTAGTAGCAGATCACCTATCCCGATTAGAGCCTGGGGAGATGGAAGATTTAGTGGATATAAATGAGATCTTCCTAGATGAGCAGATGTTAAGAGTGGATGAAGCACCTTGGTGCGCAGATATCGTTAATTACTTGGCCAGTTCCATCCCACCATCGGACTACTAAAGTCATTAGAGGAAAAAGTTCTTCGTTGAATTAAAGTATTATTTCTAGGAGGATCCAATCCTCTATAGGCGAGGGGCTGATCAGATAGTAAGGAGATGTATACCTGAGGAAGAAGTACATGAGATTCTCGAGCACCGCCACTCATCTGCATATGCAGGACACTTTGGGGCTTCGAAAATAGCTGCAAAGATTCTATAATCAGGGTTCTATTAGCCTACAATGTTTAGAGACGCTTTTGAGTTTGTCAAAAGGTGTGACCGATGTCAACGCACTGGGAACATCTCGAGGAGGAATGAAATGCCACTGAATAATATTTTGGAGGTGGAAATATTCGACGTTTGGGGAATTGACTTCATGGGACCCTTCCCCCCGTCGTTCTCAAATCAGTATATCTTGGTAGCAGTGGATTACGTATCAAAATGGGTGGAAGCAGTTGTACTACCAACAAATGATTCAAAGGCAGTAATTAGGTTCTTGAAGAAATATATTTTCACCCGATATGGTACACTGCGAGCTATAATCAGTGACGGGGGCAAACACTTCTGTAATCGCCAGTTTGAGCAGATGTTAAATAAATATGGCTTTAAACACCGTGTCATTACTCCATATCATCCACAAACCAGCGGGCAAGTTGAAGTATCTAATCGGTAGTTGAAGAGAATACTCGAAGTCACAGTGAACTCATCTAGAAAGGACTGGTCTAAAAAGCTAGAAGATGCATTGCGGGCTTACAGGACAGCATTCAAGACACCGATAGGCATGTCTCCATACGGCCTAATATTTGGGAAAGCATGCCATCTGCCACTAGAAATGGAACACCGGGCATATTGGGCTATAAAACAGTTAAATATGGACTTGAGTGCCGTCGGTGAAAAGCGTCTACTACAACTGAATGAGTTAGATGAATTTAGAATGGAAACTTACGAAAATTCAAAACTCTACAAGGAATGAACCAAAAAGTGGCATGACATGCACATTCAGAGACGAGTATTCGAAGTAGGGCAGCAAGTGCTACTGTATAACTCGAGACTCAAGCTATTCCTAGAAAAACTATGGTCACGGTGGTCGGGTCCTTACACTATCACAAAAGTCTTACCATACAGAGCTATACAAGTCAGCCATGAGACTAAAGGTACCTTCACTGTTAATGGGCAAAGGCTGAAACACTACTGGGACGGTGACTTCTCCAACCAAAAGTCTACCGTTCAACTCGGAACACCAGAAAAAGCAGCTGCAGAAAAGTCGAGCTATCGACTATAACCTAGCGTTGGGTGGAAGGCAACCCACTGTATCATTTTAAGTTAATTTACTTTGTTTTACTTTTGCATCATAGTAGGAATTTTTCAATTTCATTTTTCAAATTTTTTTTTTAAATTAGGTCATTGATCATTCATGCATGTTAAAAAAGTCCAAGCATTGTCCACACGAGTCCCTAAGCATCACACACACGTTCGGGTTGATTGGAGTTGTTTTTGGGTGATTGGATGTGATGTTTACGCATTTCGAGGCAAACGTTTATTTTCAAATTTTCAAATGTTAATGCGTGATTGTGAAATTTAACCAAACTTGTGTTTTTGGGGAAATAAAAAAAAAATTTAAGTTAAAAAAAAAAATTTCGATAATGCGGTCGCTTGGTTACGTTGCCATCACTTCTTCCTTAAATTGTTCCCAAGTCAGGTTACTCTGGTGCTCTTCAGTCTTGGTGTGTGAGACAAATTCCCACCAGTGACCGACTGCTCCAACCAACATAAATTCAGCGCAAAGTACTTCTATGCATCTGTACAAGCAATGTGTCGAAATATGCATTTCAAGCTTCTTATCCATTCTTCGATAGCTAGTAGGTCGAAATTTCCGTCGAAAGTAGGAGGCTTGTACCTACGAAATCGTTCAAACCAGGGAAACAGCTCCAAGGACGAGTGGAGGTGCATTTTGTAATGGACGTGTTTGATTCTGTTTGGTCAACTCTTACATCGCTTACAACAAGTCACGCATCAAATTTGTGTGAATAGGTGGTGTCATTTACTAACTTTTTTTTATATTAAGTCATTCGTCACACACCTATATTAAACCTAACATGGTATACCTATACATCATAAATTTAATGAGTCAACAAACGTCATGTCTCAAAATTTAAAAGTAGACAATTTAAAACATTTAAGTTATGCAAAAGTTTAAATAAATGCATCTTCTTACCCATTTACATACCTTAGAGTCATCAGAAGGAGGTCGATTAGTGGTCGTCGAATGCCAAAGATCTTTCACATTTTACATATTTAAAATTTTTAAATTTACTTCGTCTTTAAATTCATATATCTGAACAAAACTATAACTTTTTTTTTCCCTTAAAAACTCTACGGTTAAAAGGAATTAAACATTTATTGCACGTAATTTTCTTTTTATTTCCTTAAATCTATATATCTATTTTTTTTAAAATATATACACACACGCTGGCAGTATGTATGTTATACAGTACGTTAGAAATTT